CTTGCTTCTCCTTGCCCGCTTGCTCTTGGCTGCAGCCAGCGCTGCTGGGCACTCTGGGGCCTGATGGAATGCCTCGCAGCCCGGCCCCCGTGCGAGGCCGGGCATCCTGCCCTTTTGCAGAGCTGTAAGCACTCACTCACCCAGGCAGGCCTCACCATGGCCTTTGTTACTGCTCTCCGGGAAACCTTTGTGTGGCTGCTAGAGGTGGCACAAGGCTGAGCGCCCTGACAACTCTGTTTGGGAGACTCAGATGCCACCTCCCCCAGGGCCTCTCCACGCCCCAGGCCTCTCCCTCCCCTGGCGGCAGGCTTTCTCAGGGTCAGTGTTCTGCTTTTCTTTCACCAGGGCGCCCACTGTGCTGTGGGCCTGTTTGAGCTGCCCACAGGGCAGCGCTGAGATAAAAAGACCTGGGCCTGAGCCAGCAGGGAGGCAGCTTCTGGCCCCAGAGACCAAGGAACAGAAGAAAGAGATGTAAATGAGCGTCCAAGACATGAAGCTATTGGCTGGTGGCCAGGAAAGCAGCCAATAGAAGGAGGTGGGAGAGTCACGAAGAGGGGCAAGGGCAAGGGGGTAGCAGCGTGGCCAGACTGGGTGAGAGTGGCAGCTGGTCATTCTGTTGAGAAATGGATTCAGCAGAGAGAAGGCCGCCCTGGTACCCACGGATCTCGATGCTGCAGAGAGTGTCCAACTACTTCTTTCTTCTGTGTGTCCTTGGCAAGTGACTTCACTTCTTTGTGCTTCTATTTCCTGCTCTTTAAAATGGGGACAGTAATAACACCCCCTTCCAGGGTTTTTGCAAGGATTAAAAAAGCTCATGTGTGTAGAACACCAGGAAAGGATGCATGTTAGCAATCGGGTCACCTGGGTCCCTGGCTGCATGCACACCCCGTGGCTGGGTCAGGATCTTACAGGGACCACCTGATGCTCCCACAACTTGTTTTCCTTCACTCCATGTACCTTTTGTTTTGTTTTGTTTTTCCCTTCATGGAACTCATCTGTAATTTGCTCAGGCAAATTTCTTCACCTTCAGATTGCTCAAAGCCTTTCTGTCCTTTTCCATGTACATTCATTGAAGTTTACCAAAGATGGGTCTCCAGTACTGGGAGTTCAGGGCATCATGGAAGAGGGAGATCTACACGTCACTGATGGTGACACCTTCTCCCTTTAATGGAGTGACTGACTGGGGAAAATTTCATTGGTTTGCCTGGTCACTCCTTTGCTTCCACTGCACTTCTGCTGATGGTGGTGTTAATGTCCAACGAAATGGAAAGAAACCAGGCCGGCAGAAAGAGCAAGCAAGAGCCAGATAATCCCTGAGTTCTGATCGTTCTCCAAGTCATTGCCATGAATTTTCATGATTCGCGTTAATATGGGGGCACACAGTTCCCAGATAACTGTATAAAAACAAGGATATGGTCTAAAGGTAACAGATCCTTCCTTAAATTCAACCCACCACCTCAGCAAGGCAAAGGTCTGATTGCCAAAAGGACATCCCTCCTGGAAGTGACCCACACATCTCAAGCCCAGTGGCCAAAATGGGACTCTTCATTCCTGTGCTTCTGCCTCTGTTTGCTCTATCAGTTAAACATCACATCAGATCACTTATTCAGCCAGAAACACTATAGGACACTCCTCTCCTCCTTCTCCTGCATATCCCTCCCCGTACCTGGGGGCTCCTGGACCTGTCACCACGTGCCTCCTAAATAGTCCATGACTCCGTGCCTCTTCTATTTAGCCTCTGATTCTGTCAGCATCCATAAATATGCTGTGCAACATCCACTCCCACTCAGGTTCACAGCTTGGAACAAGTCATTTGCTTTGCCTCCTGCACCTAGAGTCAGAGAATCTAGGCCAGAATGAGCCAGATGGCTCTTAGCGTGTCTCCGGCGTCTGAGAGTCATGGGATGAAGACTGGGCTCAGCTAGGGTGACAGCTCCATGTGTGTCTCATCTTCCTCCTGGCACCAGAAGGCCAACCCGAGCATGTTCTTGTAGAAATAGCAGAAGCACAGGAGGTCAGCCAAAACACGTCACAACTCGCTTTCTCTGCCAAACCTCAGCAAGTCATCTAATCCCAGGTCAAAGAGTGGGGAGTACGTGTCACATTATTTAAAGTCACATGGCTAAGAGTGGGCATACAGGTAGGTCACAAAGCTCAGGCCAGTTATGCAGCCTGTGGCCAGGTGTTTGTTATCCCTTGTGTGGACTCTTTGCTGACCCCTTAGCTCCCTATTTCATCTATAGTTAACCTCCTCCCTGACTTGATCCTGACACCCTTGTGTTGAAACCTTCCGTCACCCACCCACCCAACTGAGCTGACGCCCCGTACAACTTGGCTCCAACTCAGTTTTCCAGTGGCATCTGTTGCCATGTTTCAGAACGACTCGCCACCCCCTTCCAAATGTGCTTGTTTTTTTTGTACAGTTTTGTACCTTCATACCCGGTCTCCCTCTTCCCACAGGAATCTCTCCCACATTTGAGGTTATTATAAGTGAGATGCCGTTTACCCTTCAAGATCCAGTTCACATGGTGCCTCCTCTAGGAAGCCTTCTCAGGAGACCTGGAGAGAAAGAGTTGCTCTTTCCTCTCTCAGATAATCATACTTAATTCTTCCCCAGAGAGAGGGAGGGAGAAAGGGGGACAGTTTAATTAATTCCCCTGCCATTTTAGTCTGTGATTATGGAAAACTGGGACCACTTTAGTCATCTTTAGGTTCCAGAAGCCTCTCAGCTCCCAAAAGCCTCTTATAGAGGGATGAGGGCTTGGTTTGCTGAGTGGGCGAGTTTAGTCTATTATATGCAGCCCTGCAGCAAGCTGGGTACTTCATCTGGTGTTCAACCAAAGAAACGTCAGCACATCTGGCTGTGTTGTCGTGTTGTAGATCAGTACCACCCAAAACTTTATTGAAAATTCAGGGGATTTTCAGTGGTAGTATTGTCTTTAGGTAATCCTTATCTGATTTCAGAATCTGACTCCTACTCCAAGATGTTATTCTACTGCATTCCTTATAGGCATGTTTCAGAGTGAATTTCCATTTTTTATGTCTGTTTCCCACCTAAATGAACTTCTGAAGTTCTCACCTGCAGTTTATGGTTCTTTTCAAGTGCTGCTGCCTGGGGTTGTGCAGGTTATGCACTGCACAATTCTAAGGTAGTATGTTTGTGCCAGAGTCTACATAAACACACTCCCAGCTGGTCCTCAGTGGTGCCAGCGTCCTTGTGTCCCTAGGGCCTTGTACATATCGATTGCTCAAGAAACGTATGACTGTGTGAATGAGAGTGAAGGCAAGAATAAAATGAACTGTGTTCAAGTGAGATATTTAACGGGATGAAAATTCAGGCATATTTGATCCAACAAAATCAAAGCCCTGTTATTGCAGGTGCACATGGGTGAAATGGACTCGGTCCCACTCAGAATATCTTGTTTACCTACCACACACACATACACACACACACACATTAAAAAAAAAAAAAAAAACAACTTTGATCCTGTGAATGGATTGAGATTTACAGTTCATACTAGCACATCACACTTAGCAGACATTACTGACCACTGGTCACTCTCTGCCTAACATCCCTAGTAGACTTTGTGAGGTTCATGGGTAAAGACAGGTCTAGATAACAGATAATCAACAATTGGCCTAAAGAGATCTTCATTGCTCTTAGATTTGATCAAAAATAATTATATGAATTTGTGTAAAATTTATAAAAATAGGCAAATAAGAGCATCTTTTGAAAGAGCAAGCCTTTTCCAGGTGTAATTATCCGAGTTAGGAATGTGCCACTATGGCCAGCACATAGGACACCCCATGGGAATGTGTCACCAAGTTGCACAGTCATCTTCACACTTGCATTGGATGCTTGTAGGTGTTCTGACAGAGGACCGAAGGAGGTAGCTGACCCATTCAGAATGTACAGGCCACTAGGGGGACATGGCCCAACAAGAGTCCCCAAAGACAGCCTGACCTGGGCACTACTAGTCCCCTCATGTTCCCCCACCCCTAACCACTGCTCCAGTGAGCTCTGACAGACAGCAAGGACACTGCACTTGTCCCCTGTCATCGATTAGAGTGTTCTCCAGAAAGGCAAGCACATTGTCCTCTTTTGTATTCCCCGTGCCTTGCTCAGTGCCAGGCACATAGGAAGAAGCATTAAATAACTAATAAGTGATTGAGCAAAAAAGAAAAAATTCATCATATCAGAGGGGTGCTGTGGTACTAGAAATGTCTAGTTCGCTTTTGCATCACACACACAAAAAAAATGCCATAGAGGAGGAAAAGTTTAATTTGGGCTCCATTGCTCAGGGCCCAAGGTGAGGCAGCACATCATGGGGAAGGGCCCAGCAGAGGAAAGCTGCTTGGCTCATGTTAGGGTCAGAAAGCAGAGATAGGGAGGGGAAAGGGGTCACAGGGAATCTGCACCCTTCCAGGACATCCCCCAGTGATCCACCTATCCCCCAGTCACACCCCACCTGCCTGTAGTTACCACCCAGTCCATTCAAACTAGGGTGGTCAGATTAGGTTACAGCTCTCACAGTCCAATCATTTCACCTCTGAATATTCCTGCATTAACACAGGAGTATTTGGGGCTCTCCTTATCCAAACCATAACCATTTGCAGGGTAAGGCATCACAGTTATTTTAGGCAGTACCAAACGGCCTGCAGATGATGGTGACACAGCATCTTCTCTTTGGGCTCCTTATCCCTTTCAAATCAGCAGAGCCTTGACTGTTCACCCAAGCTGATGACGTGGGGGACCCCAAAGTTTCCTTAAGACTCACCACTTGGACACCATTCCTAGCAACAGCCCCTTCCTCTCTGGAAGCTAGGATGCTGTCATAGTTTTCTGCATGTTAACTTGGGGTCAGAAAGTCATATATCATAGATTCAGATGAGTTAGAATTTAGCTTCTCTTCCTGCCAAGGTGGCGCATGTTGTCACCTTGCACCTGAAGGGAGTAATCGTTCTCATTCATTCGTTCATTATTGTATCTGTGCTCCTAGGTGAGCTTTCGGTGGAAGAGGCGCAAGACCCTTTCCTGGTTAGCATACACATCATCGCAGACCCCGGGGAATCCCAGCCGCTGCAGGAGGCCATCGACAAGGTCTTGGCATGGATCCACCCTGACCTTCCCCTGTTCCGGGTGTCTGAGAGGCGGGCTGGGCGGCGGCGGAGGAAGCCCCCCAAGGGGGCGCAGCCAGCGCTGGCGGTGGTGCTGTTCCTGCAAGAGGAATACGGTGAGGAGCAAATCTTGCAGCTCCACCGCATGCTGCAGCGGCCACCCTGGCGCCACCACCACACGGAGCGCGTGCAAGGCAGGTTCCTGCCCTACCTGCCCTGCAGCCAGGACTTCTTCACGCTGGCCCCCGGGACCCCTCTGTGGGCCATCCGACCTGTGCACTACGGCAAGGAGATCGTGCGCTTCACCATCTACTGTCGCCACGACAGCTACGCTGACAGCCTCCAGTTGTATGAGCTGATCCTGCGCCGGAGCCCCAGCCAGAGGAAAGCGGACTTCTGCATCTTCCCCATCTTCTCCAATCTGGATGTAGACATCCAGTTCTCCCTGAAAAGACTGCCCTGTGACCAGAACCCGGTGCCCACCGACTCCTCTCTGCTGGAGTTCCGAGTCAAGGACATAGGCGAGCTGGTCCCTCTCCTGCCCAACCCCTGCAGCCCCATCAGTGAGGGTCGCTGGCAGACCGAGGATCACGACGGCAACAAGATCCTTCTGCAGGTACCTGGGTTGCTCTGTCTGTCTGTCTGTCTAGGGAAACTGTGAAGCAAATCAGTTTGCCAGAAACCCTGGTCCCTGTTAAAGAGCCAGCAGTTAGAGACAAGGAGAAATCAGTGGCCTTGTCTGCCCCAGACCATATCACCATGTCTGCATACTCCATCCAAACAAAAGAGGAGGATGAGGGCCTCTTCTCCATGGCTCTTTTCATTCTGCTGCAGTGGCACAGGCTCAGTAAACCTAGGCACCTTCTCCTTTGCCCTCCCCCCACATTGAGCACCCACTAACTGCCCCTGGCCCCAGGGGATGTCACAAGAGGTTCTAACCTGGGGAACTTGCTATTAAAGGTTCCTGGCTCTATTCCTTCACACTTGGGGAGTTTGTACTGTGTAATCTTCACTCTGAAAAAGGAACTTCAGGAAAGCTCGTGTGTTGGACAATTGTTAAGTATGTGTTGTTGCCTGGAGAAGACATCTGTTCCCTTCCTCTGTCACCTCCCCTACATTCTCCCCTCCCACCCTCCAATGCTGGCTTAGGTTGTTAAAATTCATGGTCCTGTGAAAACATGACTTCCTTCTCAACATTGAAGGTGTAAGAGATGCCTTTGGAGTTTCTGCATTCACTCAGCCAGAGAAGGGTTGAGCAAACACATTTTTTAATTTGTTGTAATCAGTTATACACCACAGTAGAATGCATTTATGCACTTTGATATATCATACATAGATGGGATATAATTTCTTATTTTTCTGAATCATATCGGTGCCAATACCATGCCACTGTAGATACCACTGTAGCTCTGTGGTATCTCTGGTATTGTGATGCCCCCTGCTTCAATTTTCTTGCTAAGGATTGCTTTAGCTATTCTTGGTCTCTTATTTTGAGTGAACATTTTAAGGACAGGAGACTGACCCAGTTCTTCCATGGCCAACACCTTGGTGGCATTACTGGCTGCCCTTCTCCTCTCATCCTTTCAGTAGGTATCCCAAATTCACTAGAAATAATTGATTATATTCAATAATGCCTAGAAATTGAAGAACTTCCTATACCTAGCCTTACCTCATGAGCTCTTTCCAACTCAGGCCCTTCTTGAATTAATAGGTAAGGCAGTTCCGGTCCATAGCGCTTTGTTTCTCTGAAAAACCTCAACCTCTGTCATCCCAGTCTTCATGTTTCTCTACCTGAAAAGAGAATGCTTATAGCCACTTGGGGGACATTGCCTCCAGAGGTGCAGGTGCAGGTAGTAGAATCACAGGTGGTTTCACAGTAAGCCCCAGAACTGTACTCCTCATATGATGAGATGAAATGAGAATTTGGCACATGTCAGATGACTGGTCCAAAATGCAGCCAAGGCGCATTGCTCAGGCCAGAAAGGTCACTTTGACCAAGCATGGTGGCATATAACCATAGTCCCAGCTAATCAGGAGGCTGAGGCAGAAGAATCACTTGAGCCCAGGAGATCAAGGCCATCCTGGGCAACCTGGCAAGATTCTGCCTTTAAAAAAAAAAATGTCACTTTGAGATGTTTACCTTTTATAGGAATCAGATAATTTTCAGATTTCCTCTTGAAGAAACTAAGTAACGTTGCTTTATTATTGAGTAAACTGATTTGTACCATTGGGTCTATAATCCCCTTTGAAATGTGAGAAAATTTTTCATCTGCACTCACAGACTGCCAATTCTTTATGCAAAATATAATACAGTAGCACCAAGTAAAAGCTAATGAGATGCAAAGGATTATGTTTATACGAAAAGACCAAAATGAATGTGATTATTTCTGAAGTGATTTCTTCCTTTTTGTAGTAATGAGAGGGCTTTTTTCTCTTGATCCTTCTAATAACATAAATGAAAGAACAAAGTATGAAAGCATGGCCTGGGCTTAACTTAAAGGAAACAATGAAAGAATATTTCAAAGAAGATCTATGCATTTAAATAGCTATAAAATCTATACATGTGCAGGCTTTTGAAGTTAGGGGGTCATTCAGAGAGTAAGAAAAAGGATTTGTATCTTGGGACTCAAGACTGCAGACCTTTGTTCAAAGTAGTAGTATGTTGAGTGGTAGTATGTCAAATTAACATGGACAGAAATGACAAATGGCCCCTTCACAATTCTTGATAATAGCCATTAGAATAGGATTGCTGTTCATTTGCATGTTTACAGAGAGCAGCCTTCTATTTCACCATGGGATATACACATATCCATCTCCTTAAGTTACTTTTCAAAGTAAAAAATTTATATTTCAGTCTTCAGCAAAGTCAAGATATTTAGGTCATGGGGTAGAATACCTTTTGATCCACATTTTCTTTAGCATTCTATGTTCCCTAAGTCTATGTTCAATTATAATGTTTAACATGAAAATTTTGCTCAATTATATGCTGAAAAAAAATCTCAAGTGAGAGTAGTTTTTCCTTGCCTTGTTAAAATCTAGATTGTATTTTACCTTCTCCCTCTGCTGCATTGACTTACATTCCATATACCAGAGACTTCATCCTCCCCTTTTAATTGTTGTAAAAGAGAAAATCTGAGATTTTTTTTTTTTTTTTTTAGGCAGTCATTCAGCCTCTTCTGAGAATTAGGAGATGTCTTTTACTAGAATCAGATAAGAAAGGGAGAAAACTGTTCTTCTGAAACTCACCTCTCCTTCCTTCTTGGCATTGGTCTTCCTTCTTGCCTGGTCTAGAGGGAAGATGGGGAGGGCTTGGCCTCATCACTTGCGTGATATCCAAATTTGCATGGATGCTCGATGATATTAAACCACAGCTATGTGGAGTCAAAGGCTGTAATGACTCTTTCCACCTCCCATCCAACTGAACCAATGTTGTACTGTGAAGCCAATACGTTCTCTTTCTATGTTTTTATTTTCTTTTGATTGAAGACTATAAGTAAGACACATACTGAAAAGTGCACAAGTCATAAACATACAGCTCAATGAATTTTCACCAACCAAATATTTGTACAGCCAGCACAAAGTTAAAGAAAAAGAACAGAGACTAAAACTGAAGATAACGTCTCTTTCCCTACTCCTAGGCCTTCTTACCCTTGAATGAACATGTTACTACTCTCTAAAGTACAAAAGGGAGAGGTAGAAATATCTAATTTTTAAAAATAGCTTGGGAATATCTTCTCTTTATTTGCATTTGTTAATGGATATTAGACTTTAAAAGAGATTTAATATGGCTGATAAAAATATATACTACACAAAAAGATTAATAAAAATGAATACAGAAGAACTTAAAGGGTAAATGTTGATAGGAAAATAAGAAAAACCCAGTGTGATATCCAAAATGCATGTCATTTCCTATATACTTTCTAGAGTCATGCCCTTCATTGGTAGCCACTAGCCACATGTGGCCACTGGAATCTAAATTTTAAGTTAAATTTAAAATGCCATTCCTTAGTCACACTAGATACATTTCAAGTGCTCAGCAGCCACATGTGTCTAATGGCTACCACATTGAATAGTGCAGATACAGAAAATTTCCAACATGGCAGAAAGTTCTGTTTGAGAGTGTTGCTCCGGAAATAGGCTCCAAATTTGACTTGGAGTTTTCCAGCAACAAAAGAAAAATGGAAATTCATCAATGATGTGATGCAGAATCTGTAAGGGGAAAAAAAATCAACCCTTTTAGATGTACAAACATCCCTGGTTCTGGGATGCAGAAGCAAAGCCCCCCTGTTTTTTCATGTCCACAGTGGTGCCGACAGCCTGTCCTTAACTGCTCCCCTAGAATCACCATAACAGGGGCTCACAAAGCTCTTATAAGTGGTGTCCCAGTGCAGGCCAGGCCTGTTGGCCAAGGCAATTCATAAAAGCCACTGCGCAGAGGGAGCCTGGACTAAACAAGGTGGTCCTTGTCTATGGCTCCTGGTGGTTTTGCCAAGTCCCAGAGAGAGGAATGCACCTTCAGATAATCCCCCAAAGCTTTGTTTCCATGCTAGCAAGTAACAGTTAGTTTGCCTTTCTGTTCTCAACCAAGTGCCTGAAGAACACCTGTCCCCTGAAGGTAAAGGACAGTCAAATGTACTGCAACTCATTCAAGCTGCACTGTGCACTGTCATCATCTGAAAAGACTGACAAGGACACAACCCAAATGGAAATCTACTCGCTGCCATAAGAAGCAATTCCAGGGAACTGGAGACTATCATGCTAAGTGAATTTAGACAATCCCAAAAAACCAAAGGCTGAATGTTTTCTCTGATATGTGGATGCTAATTCACCATAAGGGGTGTAGAGACGATTAGGGGAGAATAGAAGTACTTTGGATTAGACAAAGAGAGATGAAGGGAAGGGAAGGGGAATGGGAACAGGAAAGATAGCAGAATGAACTGGACATTACTATCCTATGTGCATGTATGAATACACAACCAATGTAATTCTACATCGTGTATAACCAGAAGAACGAGAAGTTATATTCCATACATGTATAATATGTCAAAATACATTCAACTACCATGGATAACTAATTAGAACAAATTAAAAAAAAAGAAGCAATTCCAGGTCTATTCAGGCATATAGACAAAAACACAGCTGAGGACCCAAGGCTGAAGCCCACAGTAAGAACAAGTCTGCAATTTTAGACTAGAAAATCTTGAAAGCAGGTTGTTTAGATAAGCAAGGTAATGAATAATGGTGCCTAAGTTCTACGGACTACTTCTATAGATGACAGTCACTGCTCTTCTTTTTTGACAAGTCCCAGAGGGAGGACTGCACCTTCAGATAATCCCAAAGCTTTTTCTCTGAGTTCTCCTAAGGCCAAAGGAGAAGTGACCTTCAACAGAAGGTTTCAAGTAAGATTGAAAAGGGACAATGACTTGACACCAGGACTTATTACCAATTGAAATGAGCTCCTATGTAGAGCCATGGGACTGTCTCTAAGATCTAGAAGAGAGCTCCTAAGATCTCATCCACATCAGCTGGTTTACTCTTCTTTATGCACCAAGGCAATTGACTGGCCACTCCATCCTGGAATGTTGGGGACACCAATTCTGTAAGACAGATGCCACT